GGATAATATTCCAGAAAAAGAAGTACCGGTAATATAGGAAAAAGTATAAAGGATTTAAGTAGAACGGGAGGTATTAGAGAAATAATAGCAAGAAATAGTAAATATATAAAAAAAGTATTATAATAAGAAATATATTAATAAGAAATTCAAGATATATAATAAAGTCATGCTTTATATAAAGAATATTTAATAGCTATAACTTAGTATAAAGCTAGTAAATAGATATCTCGGCCCCTTTAAAGTTCTAGAAATTATAGAAATATATAAATAGGTATACTACTTGGAATTACTACTATTATATTAGATCTATAATATTTTCCACGTTTCTCTCTTAGAACTATAGTACCCGTAAACTAGTACTATAATAGAACTAGAGCCGGTCGAGATTAAGGGTAAAGAGGAATTCGAGATAGAATCTATTATAGCTTATAGGAAAGGCAGAAAAAAAAGAGAATATTTTATTTATTAGAAGGGCTATTTACCGGCGGATAATATATAGGAACTACTAAGTAATCTAGAGAATATAGCTTAAGAATTATAAGAATACTTAGAAAAGAGTAATATTATAATACTATTAGTTAAATAGAGGTATAAAAAATAAATACTTTTATTAGGAAATTATTAAAAAACCATATATTTATTCTTGGAAAAACTATACGAAAATTATTAAAAACTCTAATTTCTGTATTTTATAAATACCCTACCCTTATAACTATTCTCTACTATTCTTATTATTATTCTTATTAGGATTCTCTCGAGAAATAGGTAATAAATTAGCCTATAAAGCTATTAGCTATTAGTAAGAAATAAGGAAGAAGTAAGCTTATTTAATACCAAAAAACATTAATTATATTATTAAGAGTACTTTATACTTATACTAAGCTAGTAAGAATTACTTAACCTATTCCTTGAATTATTAGAGGAATTTATTAGCCTTAAATAATAGCTTTAATATAAGAAGTATATATAGTTTAGTATAAAAGAAAGGCAGTAATAGCCTTCTCTCTTTCGGGTAAAGGATAAGGAAAATACTTATATATATTAATAGCTTAAAAAAGGCAGTTTAATTATACTATATATATTTAAGGAACCTTAAATAGTATTAGAATAAGGAATAAAAGAAGGAATTTATAACTTATAGGATTATATTTCTTATTCTTAAAGTAATAATAATTATATACTAAATAATTATTACTCTTAATATAAGTAAGGTTAGGAAACTTGGTAATATTCTTAGAATATTAAAGATAGTAAGGGCGAATTAAGGATATAGGAGTATTAGCCAAACGGATAGTAATAGGCTAATAAATACTAAGAGAAGTATTTATCTTAATAAATAAAGAAGTAGAAAAGGGAATTAGAAGGAAACTTGAATAAAGCTTAAATAAGGCTTAAAGAAGCTTAAAGGAGCTTAAAGAAGGCTTAAAGAAGGAAGGCAAGGGATAAGAAGAAGCTAGGTATAGTATTATAATTAAGGAAAAGGAAGATTAGTTAGTAGGAAAAGAGAGGCCTTTTTATAATACCCTTTCCCCGAATAGTAATTACGAATTCGGAACCGGCTCTATACCAGAAATACCTAGAAAATTCTAAAGAAAGGATTTATAAATAAACCAGAAGATCGGATTAACTTTTCTAAACTCTTGGGCCTATAGAGTAATAATTTATTTGTAAATAGAGGCTAAGTTAGGATTTATAAACTAATTAGGAGATCGGATAAGCTTTATATCCGATAATATATATTATATTTATATTACTTTTATAAGGGGGAATTGCTAGAGGCGATTTGTAAACTAGCTAGAAAGAATTAGTAAACTATATCCTTAACTCTATTACCTGGCGTAATAATAGGGCAATTATAGGAAGTCTTTAGAGAAAGCTAGTAGCTAGAAAAGTTTTAGGGAAATATTTATAAAGCTATTTGCAGTTTTCCCAGGCCTCTTGGGGATAAGGGCCTAGAGAGGAGGTTAATATAATAGATATATATAATAGTATATAAATAGGTATTAGATATTATAGATCTAGTTTCCTATTTTGGGTATAGCTTATAATCGGAATTATATAGATTATATAGGATTTCCTAATTAAGTAAAAGGCTTTATATATCTGGCTAAGTACTAGGGAATATATAGAGAGACGCTCCTAGCTTTGGAAAGGGTATTAATTAGTCTCTTATTAGAATTAATTCTTGGAATTAGTTATACTTGCAAGCGTTACTCTATAGCTTACTTACCTTAACTACTTATATATTACCCTGCTATTACGTATTTTATACCTAGAAAGAAACCTAGTATAATAGTATCTAGCTAATAAATAAACTATTAAGTAAGAACCAAGAGTTACTAGAACTAGAAAAGCTATAAAATAAGGCAAAAAATAAGAAGAAAAGTACTTAAATACTATAAGATGGCCTTTTTTTATAATATAATAAACTATTTATATCTAATAATATAATAATACCCGAGATATTCTTATATATTATTCTTATTTAGAAGATATATATATAGCCTCTAATAAGATATTTAGAATAAGCTAAGCTTTAATAGTTTCTTTAGGCCTATTATTACTAGCCAAGCTAAGATATAAATATTAATTAGTATAAGAATAACTATTATACTTACTAATAATCTTATATTTCTAGAAATAAGAAGCTAGGGCTCTTATATTTATTACTAGTCTCTAACTACTTTTAGTAATATATATTAGTAGATTTTAAGAAATATTTAGAGAATAGAAATAAGTATAATATAGTAATAATCTTTATTAATTATTTAGGCAAGTACTTTATTATAATTCCTGTCTGAAATATAATAATAACTAAAAAGTTAGTATTTTTATTTCTTATTTATATAGTTAATTAAGTTAGTATTTTAAAGACTATAATATCTAATTAAGGCTCCTAGTTTATATTAGATTTCTAAAGCAAGTTCTATAAATATATTAATATAAAGCTCAAGTTATTAATTACTAATTATCTCTAAACTAATAGTTAGATAAAGATTATTAACTAGTATTTTAACTAATAGCTATATTTCTATATAAATTACTACTAGAATAATTAGAATAAATAGGTAATAATAATTAATTATTAGTAAATAGCTCTAGTTTATAAGACTATAGGCCAATTCCTATTTCTTATAAAAAAGGGCTATAAACCGCAGATATTATTTAACTAGGAAACCCAAATATAATTAGGTATTCCGAAAAAAGAATTAAATAAATAGAAAATAAAGGCCCTAGTAATATAGCTTTATAAATAATAATAAAAGATATAGAAAAATATAATATAAATATAAGAATATTATACTATTTAAGCTACTAAGTACTATTAACTAGTAAACTTTAGAATAGGAAATAAGATATAAATTATTACTAAATACTAGAAGAATAATTATCTAAGCTATAAGCTAGCTTATTAAATAGAAAGATTATATGAAATCCTAAAATAAATAGGATATTTCTTTAGGCTCAAGCTTCTGGAATTAATAAAAATATATCCGGTATTTTATATAAAGAAGCTATATAAAGATCTAGGTAATCCTTTTCCTAGATAAATAAATCCGGAGCTCCTACTATTAGAATTATAAGACAAAGAAATGAAATATAAAGTTTAAGAAATACTAGTAATAAAGCTATTTTATAGGAAGCTAAAGTACTAAGTCTAGTAAAAAGAATAGAACCCAGATCCGGAATAGTATCCTGCTTCCTTATTAAATAATAGTACCCTAGCTCTTTAGAGCTTCTATAATAAGAATCCCGAATAGCTAGAACTACTATAGAATTTCCTCTATTAGTTAAACTATACTAAGAATAATATACTACCGGAATTATATAATACGAACGGAAATTCTTTAAAGTTATATATAAAAGGCCCTGGCCTTTAATATATAACTTATAACTTGGAAATTCAAATAGGGACTTTTAAAGCTCGGGAATAAGCTTACTTTAAGAAAGGAAGTAATATTATAGTTATTATAATATATAATATTAGTAAGGGTTAGACTAGAGCTAGTAAGGTATCTAGTATTTAAGAAAAATATCTAATATCTAAATAAGGTATTTATAATTACCTAATTATTATATATAACCCCGAGCTTAAGCTAGTATATAGGCCTGTATATAGCTTGTAATTATTTAGATCCGAGGCTTCTTTAAGATCCTCTTCTCTTTTTAGCTTTAAATTATTAAAATAGAAATAGTCTAATTATATTTTTTAGGCCCTAGATCTTATATTTATAATAAGTATAATAAAAGAAAAAAGAGCTATTATATAACTTAATTATAATACCTAATTTTATTCTTCTATTAATATACTTAATATTGAGTCTATAGTAATAAATTAGTAATAATTAAAGTTCTAGTAACTAATATTTCTATAAAGTAAAAATCCTGTAATATAACTAGTATTTTAATGAAATTATAAATGTTTTAATCTAAAATAATTAAAATCTTTTTTATTCTGGCCTTATCTTATTTTAAAATATTTATATACTATAGTATGTATTTAATTTTACGAGAGCTTATATAAAGACTTATTAGTTATATTTATATTATTATAAACTTTATAACTTAGTTCTTTATCTAAAAGTTTATTTCTATCTAGTTAATTTTTTTCGAAGCTAAAAGCCATAGTAATATTAAGTAATAGCAGGTAAGTAAATTTATAATATTTATTTATTTCTTATTTAAAGTAGAGTAAATTCCGTATAAGAGAATCGGTGGGTCTCTGTACTTTGAAAAACAAGTATCGGCTATGCTTGCTGTTTTGAACTTTAAAGGCCTCAGGCCGAATATGGTGAACGTGGCGTTAGATCAATGTGGCGTGCAATTAGTATAGCCTAGGCCTAAGCAAACTGACCCCGCCTCTTCTTGGTCTGAGGAGCGGTTACTGCCCAACTTTGGCCTGAGACTTTAAAATACGGGAGGATCGCGCGTACCTGTACCAAGAAAGTTCAAAGCACCCAGCGTCGCCTAGAGTCCCTTTATTAGACAGGGTATATAGAATGGAGAAGCTTTCTCTACTAAATAAGGAGATCGCTAATCTAATAAGCCTACTATCCTTGCTTTTCAAGAGACCTCCTAATTTAGGGGAAAGGGTTAACATACTACAGAGGTCCAATAGCAATATTAGCCCAGATCCGACAATCTTCAAAGATAACGAAGTCGAGGCTAATTGGGGAACTGCTTATGTTAAGGAAACCGAATTCGAAGATAAAGGAGCCAGCGGGGAGGCAGCGCTTAATACTCTGAAAAGAAAAGCTTTGGATCGCCTAGCCAAGGCTTTGGCTAGGTTCAAAACTGCTAAAGATCCCCGAGTACGTAGAAATAGTAATCGCGATGCATAACATGTAGCGAGCGTGGTTATAGTAGAGGACTTTAATAACGGCGGTATAATAATATTTTGCTCCAAAAACGAAGGCCTTAACGACGTGGATGAAACTTTCTTGCGAAGTTTAAAGGATTTATTAGAGATGATATTAAAAAATGATATGTGGAAAAGACTTACGACGACTATTCGTTTCATTAGGCCTATTAAACTAACTACCATGATTAGCGAGTAGCGGGGAAGCAACCAGACAGCCTTGACCTAGCATTCGAACTCATATTCAATTAGTAAAGACCTCGCGTAGAGTTCTACTCCTCAATACTTCAAGATACGTTCGCTCGGGTTATCCGTATCCCTTCGCCAAATACCCTCACAAGAGACGTGCTTGAGCACTAATACATGCGTCCGATCTCAATAAGGGAATGGGCGGATAACTATGGGCTCTAGTTCGAATTCCGCTATAAACCAATAGATAAGACCTCTATTTCTGATATGGCTATTGACTGCCTTTCCAACCAGGAGAAAGAAGAGGCCGTGGCAGATGCGTTCCGCGAAATTAAAAGCCTCTTTAATAGCCCGGCCTTTGACCCTATACGTTCAAGTCAAACAAAGACACTCCTCAAGAGGGTATATAGCATTATTTAATACCCTCGATAGCAGCTAGTACTAAAGGGTCTCCTTAGACAAGTATTATATGAATATGAGCAAAGCTTCCGGAAAGCCTGGAATACTCTTCTATTTTTAACCCGTATTTACTATAGTGTAGTAATACTAGTATATCTCGTATTAAATTCAAAGAACTTTAAATCCGTTAACTTTCCTCCCGTGCCAAGCAAATTTAGGCTCGCAAGCAAGGCCAACCCTAATAAAAGGACTCCGCTTGAAGTCTTAATAGCCCTTGGATACTGCCTACAGACCGAGGCATAAACGAGGTTCTTTCGAGGCAAGGTCGAGAAATACATGTAGCTATTGCAGATAAAGAGGACGGTCTATGCGGAGGTTCAGCTAATATACTACCTTGAGACGAGTCTGGATCTCCCTAAAGGGTTTACCGGGAAGATATTCTCCTATATTAGATATAGTAGGAAATACTACTTTTTTTGCGAAGAATTTCGCGTTATGCATGGAACTTTCACTACGCGTGGAACGTATAAGGCAGTATTTCCCAGATAGGCATTACCGCAAGCACTAGTAACGCGAGAAGACCCGGATCAGCCAGTTCGTCTAATGCGCCAATTCTCTATATTTCTCAAAAAACTTTTACGAATACTACTTAGCATGCCATACCCCTCTCCATATTGAGACCTCATTCAGTAATTAACGGCGGCCCTGTTAACGGCACAGGCCATATGACGGGAAACCCCGTCTTACTCTAAAAGACCATTAATCGTGACGTGAGTTATACAAGGATTCGTTAGCATGCCTAATATTAATAACCTTATAGCAAAATAATATTTCCTGGTGAAGTTTCGGCGTTCGACGGGCAGGTTCAATTTATACCTTTACCTCAAAAACCTGGATATGCCTCGTTTTTGGCGCCAAGCATGCCAGATATGGGACAAATACTGCTAATTAAAGAGACTAAAACCTTTAAAATCAATTATGATAGGGGAACATATTCGCTAGAGAAGATGGACTAGATACCGCCAATGCGAGACTAATACCTAAAACCGTGCCGACGTTGCCATAGTCCGGCAAAGCGTAGATACTCGGCATGTCGGATATGGTATTATTCCAGAACTTATCAGAGGCGAAACTAGAGTGCCCACGTCTTTATTTACAGGACCTTGAATCGGCCAAATAACGTGGACTTTTTGAGACTAATTATCAGGAGGGTAAAGAAAGAGATAGTGTCCGAGAATATGAAAAATATTCACAATTCTCTTTTAGAGCTATTCGCCAATAACTATATCTGCCGCACCTTTGGATTCAATAACTACTCCAGCCGGATAGAGGCAGTCTACCTCGTCTGCCTCTATAATACTATTATATCAAGATATCGTTCCCCTATAAAACTCCTCCAGGTATCCTTGGAAGCCGGTAATCTCGCCAATTTCTTAGAGCTATGCTATTAATAATTCATTAAGCAAATGGGCGGACAGAGTAAATATAGCTGCATCTCGTGGTTTTTGGCCCGTTAAGTAGCAAGGCCGTTTACTATTCCGGATCCAGACAAGGAGACATATGAAATCTGGGTTATAGCATTTGCAGAGACAATCGACTCTCTCAAAGTAACGGATAAGATAGAGGAAGGATGCAGGTTTAATGCCCAGGAGGCAGAGGTTTTCAAGCTCTTTATTACTATTCAACCTTCAATCTGGCGGCTTCCCGACATCTGCTCCTCAGCTTAGATCAACTTTGGATTCTACTACTATAAGTCCTTCTTATAACGCCAGGAGCTCGCAGACAAGTATTTAGCCTTGGCTTCCTCTAACGCTACCTTTAACGATATTATATCCGCATACAAAGCCTCGATAATGGCAGAATTAATGGCAACTCATGACATTAATCTTTCGAATCTGGAACGTCACGGCATCAGACTTCATATGCCCCCTCCATACCAATACGCGGTCTATCGGCTAATAATAGGAGTGGAATATGCTCTCTCGGGCTAATACTATAATTACTTCCGGATACGCGAGGGTCGACCATGCCACTAATATTTCGAGACACACTTGGACTCCGAGTCCGACGTAGCCTACGGATTTCACCTGGCTAGTAGCTGGGAGAGATAGCGGCTACTTAACTTCTATATATATTTGTTTAAATTACCAGGCTTTAACCCGGGGGCAATAGGGGAGGCAAAGGAGAGCGGACAACGGGGAAGCCTCGAGAAGTACCTCGATACTCTAGTTCCTAACACAAGACGAAAGCTATTTGACATGAATCGAGCCGAGTATATCGGTTTTCCGAACCTGGATAGTAGATTAAGTATAAGGATAGCAGATAGTAAAAGTATTAACTACTTCTATTTCCCTTGTAATTATAAAGTATACAATATTATGGGCCCCTCAGGTATCTATTATCTAAAGATGGACCAAATAGTTAATTATGGGACGTTTTGCTCGGGTTCTTAAGACTATATTTCTTCTTAGTCACAGCTTGCCTAATACTAGGTTAAGGCCAACTATACTATTATGGTAGCGGTATAGTATAATCACGATAAGGGATAGGACTTCAGGCCCAGAGAGAAGCAATTGCCCTCGAACAGGTGAATGGAGACATCGCTCGCGCTCATTATTACTCTCCACAAATAACGGTCTTGCCACTACTTACTATTAATAGAATAGCTACCCGTAAAGAAGCCGCCAAATCTCAATACTCACATATCCAATAAGCTGCGGTATTAAATATAAAGAGCCGTGAGTGTGGAATGCAAGGAGCCGTGAGGAAGGCGGCCGCTAAGGAAATCATGGAAGACAGCAAACCATTAAAATAACGATCTATACAGATCGCGGCATAAAGTAACGGGATTACAGGTGCATGCATAATTATAGGGCCACTAATAGGGCCTGCAGTGTCTCAGCGAGCCCTGTAAGCCCCGTAATTACCTTCCAATAGAGGCGTAAGGCCCCTAAAGCTCCCTGAAACATAATGTAGCCGATTAGGAGGTTACATTAAGCCACAAGCTTTAATAGGGCCTTTAGCCCCTGTATTTTAGGCCTGTGTCCGTAATCGGTAGTGGGGTAAAGCTCACTTTACCCCCCTTCTCACCCTTCCCCAAGCTCTTTACTTACTCTCTTCTTTACTTTCACTTTCCCATTTGAAGCTAGTAATTATGGCTACCTTTAGTGGTTTATTTGACTTCCCTGATTTATTAGATAACCAATCAGAGCTCTCCTCTCCTCCTGATTCCTCCGATTCAAACAAATTAGCCTGTAGTATAACTACTAAAGATAAAGAGAATACCTGGTATAATTTACTATCCAATTTAGAAAATAAAGATAATAATTGGATTATATTAAGCCTTATTCTCTCTTCTTCTATAGCTACTTCTATAGCTTTTACTATATCTAATATTATATATAAAGAGTATTCTACTAGTACTAGAATCAAGGCTATTTATATACTTAAGTAAAGACAATCTATAGGTAATATTAGGAAAGCTATAGAAGTATCTAGAACTCGTATTTATAAGCTTGCAAGCCTTACTAGATAGTATAGATAGAGAGAATATAAGGATATATTTCTGGAAACCTCTTATATATTTAATTAATCTCGTTCTAATAAGCTAGTAATCTCGCCTACTATAATTAAGTATATTTTGCAAATAGTATTTTAAAATTCGACTACTTATAGTTTCTCCTATACTATTATTATAAAGGAAGTAAGAAGAAGAGCTTATAAGATTACCTTTCGAATAGTTTAGAAGTTTCTTATAGTAGCTAGCTATTCTTAGTATAAACTAATAATAAAGCCTGGTTTAAATAAGTTTAGTAAAAAGAAGAAACTAGACTAGTATTTAGAGTATAAGTATTAGAGTCTTAAAGATTAGAAAAATGTGATTTTTATAGACAAAATAGTAGTATAATTAGATAATATATAAGAGAAAAGAAGAATCTAAAGGCTTTTAGGAGAAGCTTATAATAAGTATTATATAAGGAAATACTAGAAAGGCTTCTCTAAGTTTATATTTTGGGAATTCTTCTTATATAATAAAAAGGAGCTATATTATATATAGGAAAAGGGAATAGCCTAGTAAAAGTAAGAAAGAAAAGCTAATTTGGATATAAGAAATTCCTTAATTAAGAAGGCTAATAAATAGAAGTAGAAGAAAGAATAAAGGAAGTAGCTAAGGAACTAGATTAAAGTTTATAGCAGAAAACCTAGTAAAACGAGAAAAATATAGAAATATAATAAGAAAGCCGGAGCTTTTATAGTAAAGAATAGATATAGAGAAATTAATTAGTACTAATACTAAAGAGAAATCCTTATTATAAAGCTTTTGCTTTTTATAAAGAAATGCCTAAAGAATTATTTAAATACTATTATTTAGGAGAATAATATACTAGCCTATAAATCTCATTACTAATAAGGGATTTATAACCTTTAGAGAATTATAAAAATATTCTGGCCAAGTAATTTACCTAATCTCAATACTATTAAGCCTATATGGTTTTATATAAAGAAAGAAACTATAAAGCGGGAACTTACAGGTAATAGAAAGAAGCTAAGAGTAAGGTGAGAGAAATACTAGGAGGATCTTTTTTAAAGAAAAATTTAGGAGTGGATTAAGGCAATTCCTTATTACATAAAAGAGGTAATTAGATTAAAGGAAGGGAACGAGTATAAGGAAGAGCAAAAGAAGGGCCAAGAGAAAGAAGCAGTATATAACTAAAGTATATCTTCAAATATGATTAATTAATCAGGTGATTTACCCCACCTGCAAGCCCCCCCCCCTTTTTTTTTTAGCAAAATACCCTTCAGGGGGCAAGTAAGACCTTACAGGGCACTTTGGTGAACTGCATATAATTATGCCCTGTAATCCCGTCACTTTATGCCGCGTTCTCCGTACTGCCATCATCTTATATATTGACTTCACTCGCCTTTATCAACCACTCTCAAGGCATGGCCGAGAGGACAGAGATCTTATCTATGTTCGAGAGGGGTTATGAAGCTCAGAGTAGCCACGAAAATAATGATGCTTGTTAGTTAGATGCGGCAGTAGCTATATTTGCAGGATCAGATCCTGATCCTTTGGATTTAAGCTCGCCAACCATGTGTTTTCGATGCGGAGTATCATTTACCACCAAATATTAGTTCACATATGGCATTGGGATCAATCTTTAATCTTATATTCCCCCGTCCCCTCGCAAAGTACTGCTTCCCTGGGTGCAATAGATCACCCTTCAAATATTCCAAGGACCTTTAACGCTATATCAATAATGTCCATAATACCACCAAGCCTTTACAAGTGCCTAGTGGATAGCTATAGAACCAATTATATCTTCAAGCGCAGGGACAATATCAAGCGCTATATTCGAAAGCAGTACCGTCAAGCAAATTGTGAAGCTAGCTACTTGGTGCTGAGGGGAATGGTTAGTAACAGGATGGAGTGAATATATAGGCATAAAGATAAGAATTCACGTAATGAATAGTGGCTGAGCCTAACTATTATTATTATTGATTTTCCAGGTACATTATACCGCGTTTACTAAAAACGCCTTATTCTGCATATCAACTTACCAGAAAACCATTAACGTCCTTGGGAGTCCGAGTCTTCCGTTATGTCCAGAGAGCAGCCCTTAAAGATGGACGAATAAGCTAATCGAATAGCATAATCTGCCGTGTGGCTATGACCAAGACTCTCAAATATTGGCAGAAGGACTTGTCCCCCTTTACCTTATTCACGCCTTCCCACGCAAGACAGACGTTCGTTATTTTGCCAGCCTTTGCCACTTCTATCTTATTTAGCTTTCCCATTACCTCCGAATAATCTAGCCAAAGATTTGGGACTGGCCCGCTAATAGCTCTGGTTGGCTTCTGATCTGTATACCGAAGCCGCCCTGGGAAGAGACCAAGGAAGTCTCTAGGAGCAATAGCGACCAACGGAGCAATAGCAAGAAGTTTGGTTAAAGAAGTCTTGTTATTTAAAGTTCTTTTGCGGATTGACCTTTATAGGGGATAAAGCTAACATAAATAGACTTATTACGGTCAAGCTGGCCTTTAATCCTATAGTAGAGAATATAAGAGTTTGATTTCCCAGAAGTAGATTTCAGGCTGTAATTAGCCAAGAATTCCTTATACTCTATTAAGTCTTGGTTCCAGACGCTAAGGTAGTCTCCCTAGTATATATTTTATAGAGTATAAAGCCGGTTACAAATTCATTATTTTTTAATATTACTCTACCCAGAGAAGTTATTCCCTTCTCGAGCAATAACTCTCAAACGGAGCTATTAAAGAGAGAAGTTATAGACTTGGTTCTAGGAAAGTAATATATTAAGTTCTTTGGGATATTAAAAGAAATAGCTCTTAAACTTACTAGTATATCTAAAAAGAAAAGCCGTTATTTCTTTGTCTCTTAAATTAGACAGAAGCTTTAGGTATACCGTTTATTTAAAGAAGTTATTTCTGCTTTAACTATATTCTATAATAATTATAAGTTTTTTTGCTACTAGTTTTTCTTATAAAGTAATTTCTGTTTTTGGACCTAATAATTCAAGAAGTGGGCCAATTATCTTTACTTATTATTAAATTATAGGCTAGTAAAATATCTCTTTCTATAACTATTAGAATCGGGTCTTTATATTATTAGTATTATTTTTCTTAATATATTTTATTATATTTTTATAATTGTTTTCCTTATTAAATTTGCCTATAAGCTCTATTAACTCGAAGAAAAGATCTTATAATTCTTTTCCTAAAAGTTCTCTAATATTAAAATATATAATAGTATACTTCAAATACTATAACTTAACTTAATCTTTATAGGTTATATTTATCTAATATTAATTTCCGATATATTTTAAACTATTTAGTTTAATTTCCTAAAGCCTTTTATATATAATATCTAATATCTAATATAGGCTTTATAATTAGATAATTATATTTCGTTTAACTCTCTATAATATTAGTTATAATCTTTATAAAATTAGTATAATTATTCTTTATAAGAATATTTTCTAAAGTTTCAGATATAAATAAATTAGAAATATAGCTATTATTATATATATTTTCAAGTATTACTAGAATATATTCTAGTAATTAAGCTATATTATTAAGTACTAATTACTTTATAAAAAGAGAATATATAATAATATCTAGTAAACTAATATTAGTACTATTAGTCTCAGATAATAAATAGCTTAATAAATCTTTATAGAAGAATATTAACTCGAATAAACCCGTATTAGATACTAATATTTTAATATTATCTATATCTTAGTAAGAATTAGAAATTCTATAGAATTTTAATAAGAAAATATCTGGGCTAGTATTTAAGTTTTTAGAAATAAGAAATAGAATTAAAAATATAAGAGGAAAGTTTTAATAAATACTATTAGCTATAGATATTAATAATTTACTAGATATAACTATATTATTTAAGGGTTTTAAATTAATAGTAAATATCGGAAAATACTTATTTAAAATAGTTATTTTATTAGTATAAGTTATTAATAATAGATTATTATTTATTAGTTTATTAATAATTACTTTATTAACTAGACTAGAATTAGAAGTTATTATAACTCTATTAGTATATTCTTAATATAAGACATTTCTTAAAGTTTTTAGAAGCCCTATTATATTTGGCTTAATAATAGCTGGATTATTAATAGTAAGAGTAATAGACTTATTAGTAAACTTATTAATAGAAAGCTTATTATTAGTAGATATATTATTAGAAAGCTTATTAGTAATAGTTTAATTTATAATATATCTTATCTTTTAAATATATTTCCTATTTTCTTATTTATATTCTATATAAACTTATATAATTATTTTATTTATAGAGCTAGTTAATCGGACTTATAGAGATATTTAAATTTAATAGTAATTAGATATAAATTACTTGCTTTTTTATTTAATTTATTAAGGTAGTTTTAAACTATTATAATTTTAATATCTATTTTTTAAATAATATTAAATATTTTCTATTTATTTATTCTATAAGTTTATTTTATTTATATAGATTTCTATTATTAGTATTAAGTATATTATAAAATATAGTATTTTATAAAAATATAATATTTTATAAATATATAATTTATTTTATTTTTAATATAATTAGCTATTATATTATAATAGCTTCTAAAAAAGAATTATATTAGAGTTATAATAATAAAAAAGAATATATATAATAGCCTAATTTCGGTTTAATTTATTTTTAGAATTACTAACTAAATAATATTTAATTTAGTTAAATATTAAATACTTTTCAAATAATAATAAAGAGAATAAAAGTATTAATATTAAATATTATAAATTCTATAAGTTATTTAACTTAGAAATAGATTATTACTAGAATTAATTAGTATATTAAGATTTTTTACTTATAAATTAATAGTTTCTATTCTTTCTGAATACTTTTTACTAATTAGAATAAACTATTTTACTATATAAATATATAATCTTATATCTATAACTATTTAAAAATAAATTAAAATATAAATCTAAATTAAAAATCTAGTATTAAATAATATTTCTTTATTTCTAATATTCTAATCTTATACTTTATTTATTCTAATTTCTTATTATATAATCTCTTTTCGAGAACTTGAAATAATAATTCGTAATTTAATTATTATTAATCCTATATTACTTTAGCTATAGCCTTTTTTATATTATATTATCTTTATATATTTATAATATCTTTATAACTTATAACTTATATATTATTTATTATAGTTATTTTAATTAATTTATAAGTAGTTTTTATTATTATTTTATTTAAAAAAAAACAAGTTTTTATTTAGAAGAATTATTTAGTTAGTAAATATATTCTCTATAGTATTTACTAGTTTTTAAATATATAGTTTATAAGAACTATTAAATACTTTACCTCGTATAATACTCTTATTAATCTATTTCTATAAGAATATTAAATTATCTGAAGTTATAGAGGTTTTAAGCTATTAAAGCTTTAGAATATTATTATATCTCTCGGTTTTAATAGTTATAGGATTTATATATAGCTCTAATTTCTAGATATCCTTTAATATATAATCGGGATTAAATAGTTATAGTTTAGTATTAGACTAATTAGATATAATATTTCGAGAACTAAAAGCTTTATATTATATATAATTATATAAAAAAGTAAAATACTATTTTATTTTATACTAGACTAGCTATAGTCTATATTTATATATTTAATTTCTTTAAAAGATTTTACTATTAAGCCTATAGCTTTACTTATTATAGAAAGAAAACTATAATAAAATAAAAATTTCTATAAAATATACTAGAGTATAAAATATAACTTAATAGTAAAATAATAAGATTAAAAGTATAAATAATAAAGTATAAATAGTATATAGTATATAAAAGCTTAATTAATTAAATATTTAGAAGAAATTATTCTCTAGAATTATAGAAAAACTAGCTTTCTTATATAATTTTTATAAGTTATATATAAAAGGCTATAGCTTTTACTATATAATTAAAACCTTAAAACTACTAAAATAATATGATTTTTAGAAAATATAGCTTACTATATTATATCCGATCTCTTATTTATTTATATTTATTCTCTAAATACTAAAAATAATAGAAAAATTCTATTTAGAATCTGAAATAATAAAATAATTAGGATTCTCTTCTATTAGCTAATTTAATTTCTCTTCTATATATCTAAAATAAGACTTATTACTTTTAAATAGTCTTATTTTATATTTC